TCCAAGGTCATCTTTGACGATCACAACTACGTCGGCGGAGCTGTAACGGCGATCAACGCCGACGCCAAGCAGGGCGATTACATGTACTACACATGCCACACTGACAACCGCCTGACCGACGGCGACACCCCCAAGATCGTCCAAGAATGGAGTCTCACCGTCAACAACGAGTACAGCACCGAGTTTGACTGGAAGCTCGATTCCACTACACAATTCTACAAGGATTGGTTCATTGCCCAGCAGCGACTGTATGAGAAGACTGAGGGCTGGATCTTCTGGACGTGGAGGACACAGCTCAACGATCCACGATGGGACTACAGCTACCTGATCTACAAGAACTGGGTACCCACCTCCAAAGCAGGACTGGATGCTAGTGTCAACAAGGACGTCTGCGCGACGTGGAACCATAGGAGAAGGAGGACACGGGGCAGGCAGTAGGAGTGTCGTGGTGTCTACTCATGCTCGCGGCGCCGCGCATGAAGGGGTTTAGTAAATATTCTGTTGTCTTCTAGTGCTTGTTAGCCACACAGGCTACCGTTAGCAGGGATCCTTTCCGTGTAACGAAATCTTACATTTGTATCATACTTTACACAACAGTCCCGTCCTGTCTCCTATCATGATGCATTGCGCTTCTCGGCTGCATTTGCTAAAAGTGTCCACGCGAGCACAACTGCAGTGATCTTTCCCCTATCCTAACATATCGCCACAGCACGAAAGGTAAAGACTCTGTGCCAAGGTGATCGCGACTCCTGAAACCCAATGAACGAGCGGTGAGAGTCCATCGTGTGATCCATCATCGTGCGACGACCGGTCACGATCGACACACGATTTTATATCAGAGATCGAGTTCCTTCTTGTAGATCAGTGTGGTCAGGCGACTGAGGAGGTCGACGAGCCATTTTGATCGGGTTGCGTTAGCCGCGGCGGTCGAGTGCCGATGTTGACCGTTTTCAGAGGTCAGATGGTTATGTCAGCTAGTGTAACAGGAGAGAAACTACAGAGTACATGTAGGACAGACATCGGGAACAGGCGATGTAGGTCTAACGGAGTAAACGGAGATGAGGTTTGTCTTGGTAGGCCGTGTGGTGTTAGCGGTGACCACATTTGTGCTGTTAGCTGACATGAAATCTCGCTGTGAGAAAGTACCTTCTAGTTCCGCTGGGTCTTGACAGGACGTGATCGATCGAACTTGAAGAGGCTGGTACAGCATTATGCACTTGTTCAACCTCTCGTTTCAGAGGCGAAAGGGGTGAGCCTTAGTTTCGCGAAGCTCTTGTGGAAGGCGGTTGTGAACGTCTGTCATGATGTAACAATTCAATTCAACACTGCGCAGGGGAACCGCAGAGCTGCATCTAACACCAGACCCAGGCCATAAAGGCGGTATATCGTTCCAAACGCCTGTATTGCAAACCCAAAATGCAAAGATGGAAACGCCGAACTATTTCCGTAAACACCGATCCGTGAGTGCGTACGCAATCCTAAAGTACAAAGAATTATGAGATATTAACAGGCCATGTCGGGCACGGTTCGTCGTTAGTCGTGACTTCAGAGGCGTCATAAACGCATGGGCAAAAGTATCAGAATATCTGAAAGACAGGGACGTCAGGCTAGCTGACGCTCTGCGAAAGAGCTGAAGATAGATGAGACGCAAACTTGGCGTCAATGCCGTCTTCCTGTACGCCGAGGCCGAGGCCTATACCACTATCGTCATGGTTTGGCTCTTGTTGGGAAGTGTTCATGTCGTACTCGTACTGAAAGCTCATGTTGTATTGTGATGATGGTTGAGTAAATCGTCCAGCATTGACTGATGATCTTGCGTTAGTCAACTACCATGTGAGGCTAAGTTGTGAATGAATAAACTCACCTTCCTGATTTGACCCATTGTCCTGGATGGTGACATGGCTAGCGTTGGATATGAAGGATTGATCTGGTCCAAAGTCGGCTTCCAGGCTGCTATACCTGCTCTCGTTGTTGCTGCCGCTGCCACCGTTGGTCATGGCCGCATTGAGGGATTCACCCATTACAGGCGAGTAGTTGGACGAGCTCCAGTCTGGGGGCGCATGGCCTAGAAACCCACCTAGTGAAGCTAACCATTGCGCCATCTCATCCACGAAGACCTTGGTGAGCCACCAACCTTGGAAACTGATTCCATTCTCGACGGTGATCTCGCGTATGGCGGCCGAACCAAGCGCACTGATGCAGTGCATGATCGTGCGAGCGTGTGCGCCAGGAAAGCGGGACGGCAATTGTGTCAAGAATGCTGCGATACGATCGATGACGGACTCTGAAGGATCTGCGGGTGGGTCGGGATATGCTGCGCGATGAATGGTACCGGAAGGCAATTGGATCTCCTGTGGTAGCGGGCCTAGCATCGAGCGGATCTCGGTAGTTAGGATGTTGTAAACCTCCTCGTGCGCACAGGAGGCGGGCAATTCGTTGGCAATGATGCGTTTGATGTTGACGTGCTCCAGCCAGTCAGCAAACATCTGGGTGCGATGGCTCTCTGCGGTGAGCATGACTGCTGCTGCGTGTGCAGCGGAATTCACACGAAGCATCTGTCGGAGAAGATGTGCGAACAATGTAGCGGGTTCCAGCTTTGCTTCGAGTACATGTATGGGCAGCGGCGCGAACTTGGCGGCAATATGTGCATGTAACGTCTTTGCAACGTTGTCGAGGAATTTTAATACTGCCGGTGGCGCTACCTGAAGGGTGAGCTGGGAAACGTTGCGAATCATCTTCTGGTACATCATCCAGTCGCACTCCTTGATCCATGGAGCCAGTTCGGGTGAAGCGAACAACTTCTGCACTGGCACAGTTAATGTCCCGTGGAAAGTACCAAAGAGGCGGAAGAATTGCTTCTCCTTGCAGTATCGCACTGAGTCGACCAGCGAAACGACATGTGAGCGGTACATGGCGACGAGATTATCGGCGGAATCGGGATCGGTACGCGCTGGTAAATAGGGTTTAATGTCAGGCAATTCGACTACGAAAGCATCTGGAGCTTCGAGGATATCTGGCGTTGGAAACTTGAGCTCGTGCTCGTACGACGTCTTGGTACGCGCGTGAGATGGGTAGAAATTGGACGAGTAGATGTCGGTGAACAAGACGCCGCGGGACGAGGCTGGAGTGTAGTAAGTGTTCTGCGGCTCCACGCGAGCCTCTCGTGGTGGAAAATGTGCGCTGTCTGCAGGTAACCGGGGGATAGCACTGAAGCTGTTAGCAATTGGCACACCAAGTTGTGGAAGGCACATACTCAAGGTTGAGTCTCGGTGTCCCAGAAGCCTGACGCTTCATAGCATGATGGGCAGCGGGGCCGTTGCTGCCCCGACGTGCCTCTTCGCCACTGTCGTTGTCGTTGATGAGTTCGAGATCGACGTAATGGTACTTGGACTCTCCGCGAACACCAAGGCGCCTGGTCTGGATGCCGGGGAAAATGACGCGAACGAGCTTGCCGAAAGATGCTGGGTTCAGGGGGATAACGCGATCGGTGCCGCAGCGCTCTGCGTACTTGGAGTAGACGCGGTTGCGCGGTACTGACGTCTTCGCAACACGGCAGACAGACTGTAACCTGGGGCGCGTTAGCACTGTTCCTGCGTGGAGGCGAAGTACCTACCATAACATGGCGAACAGTTGTTTCGACTTCTCTGCCTTGGATGTTCTGTCATTCTGGATGACCTCAGCTGCGACCTCCTTGAGGTTGCGGCCTTCGTTCTGATTCAGCAGCTGGCGCAATTCCTTGTCGTTGGTCGCGGCACCTGAGGTCGATGGCCTTTTTTTCTTATCCTCCGTATCCATCGGCGGCGCCATGAAACTGTGTTGCTGCGAATGTTGTGAATGCTGAGAGAGGGAGTTCTGGTAGGCATGGTGATCGGGTTGTGCGGGCTGACCGTTCGGTTGAGGGTGAGACGCGGTTGGGTCGGCTGGGTAACCAAGATACTGCTGAACACTCTCCAGACTCATGTTGATAAGCTGGTCCTGCGCGCTGACCTGTTGCGCGGCTTGGAGTAATGCAGGCTGTAACGCTTCACTGGTAGTGAATGGAGCATGATACTGCGGCTGCTGGGGAAATTGGTTGGGCCGCGGTTGCTGCGGTTGTTGGAATTGCTCGAACGAATGCACGCTCGTCGTCGACGCGCGTGAAAGAGGACGATTGCTTCTCGTAGACATTGACGTATTCGATCGTGACCGGCGGATATCGGTCATGTTGCGGACGCCGGCTGGCAGATTTTCCGTATGTTTACACCAAAACAATGCGATGGCAACGGCGCTGAGGAGGCGGCAACACAGTCGGCAGAGTGTCTAAAGTACGCGACGGTAATCCCAAGAAGACCAAGGTGTCGTGAGTAGGCTGATGGCGCTGCTCGCGTGTAGCTCGAGTCTCAGCTGTTTTCGGGGCTGGCGGGTTTGTTTGTTTGGGCCAGGGACTAGCTCAACACGTTGTTCCGGCAGATAGGATGTCACCAACGTGGTAGAATGCTCCGCAGAAGAATATCCGGCTCCAACAAGGGTCGTAGGCGTCGTCGGTCGCCCTCGAGCGGGTTTGTTGTGGGATAGGAATTGGATGTTTACGCTTCCGTCTGAACTCGGTCACGCCTGCAGCAACGGAGACTGGCCGGCGCGCTTGGACCTCAACGGTCACGTGCAAGTCGTCATAATGCCCGTGCAATCGCACTACTCTCTAATTGCCAATGTAAAGGAAAAAGAGACAGGTGAATGCGACATTACCAACGCCCGGGATACGGCTTCGTCGAACGGCTGGACCGATGCACGCGATCTTGTCTCATCGGCATGCCATTGCTGCGTTCTGGCTGGCTCGTGAAAGGCGGTGACGTATTTAGCGATGACGAGCCCACTTCCTCCATCCCACAATCTCCAGGCTCCACGTTCCTGCTCCTCCCTACCTACTGAACACATTGCAGCCCCTCTGCTTCTTCAACCAAAACCCGTTGCATCCCACCCTTTCGCAACCCATCACACCCAACCTCCCAACAGCCCTCAACATGTCTGTCCAGGATAGAGCCCAGGCCCAGCTGTCGCAGCTCGACAAAGAGGTAAGCGCTCTCGCTTCTGCACAAGGCACAATTGTCAAAATACGCCTTGTCCCGACGATTCCGACAGGAAAAGCAATGGTTTTGATATGAAGCCACGTTTACTGACGATGTTGTGTTCCAGCTGTCCAAGTACCCCGCACTCAACAACTTTGAGAAGCAGACGTCGGTCCCCAAGGTCTACATGATCCTTGGTCTCGCTGGTCTCTACTTCTTCCTCATCTTCTTCAACATTGCCGGAGAGTTCCTCGTCAACATTGCTGGATTCATCATTCCCGGTTACTACTCGCTCGAGGCTCTCTTCAGCGCCAGCAAGGTCGATGACACCCAGTGGTTGACTGTATGTGTACCCCGCTTTCTTATCGCTGGCAAGACAGCTGGCCAAATTGTGTCCACAATAAACTTGGGATGGGGCTAATGTGATGCCGCAGTACTGGGTTACCTTTGCCTTCTTGACCGTCTTCGAGAGCGCTGTGAACGCCGTCTACTGGTTCCGTAAGTACAGCCAGATCGTCTGCATGATCCGCAACTGACGTCCGCAGCCTTCTACTACACCTTCAAGTTTGTCCTTATCCTCTGGATGTCTCTTCCCCAGACTGCGTATGTAGCAGCCCCGTCGCGCACATTAATGCAAGCTTACACTCCCTAGTGGTGCCCAGATCGTCTTCCGCTCATTCCTTCAGCCCGTCTTCTCGCGCTACTTCTCCGCGACAGGCTCCACCGCTGCCGACCTCCGTGCCAAGGCCGACTCAGCTGGCAAGCCTCATGCCTCGTAGAGCAGTCGCGAGCATAACACTCTTCTGGCAGTCGCACGGCTAGACGATAATGACAAGGACGAAGTTCGGGATATAACCTCTGCTGTGCATGAGAGACCCAGCTTCTCAAGGTGTGCGGCTGTTGCAGCTTGGAAACGCTGCATGGACAATGGTTTACGAGCTACGGATAGCGTTCATGACAGGGTTGACGTACGAAAGAAGAGGCAGGCATCCTTACGTTTCATGATCATTTGCCCATAAGGGAACCAATCGGGTAGGAAGTTGTGGTCTTTGGCAGTGGGTTTTGGTGAATCGCTTGCGAGCAATAATATGATGTACCGAGTCTGGGCGAGCCCTCTGGCTAGAACCAATTACATATTCATTACCATTTTCAATCAAGGTCTCATATTCATGTTTACGGAAAGGAACCTTCGGCGACTTTCCTGATGATTCAAGTACAAGAGTTGTCTAAAGAACCATACGCTATCATGGATGGATCTGAAGTTGCTGGCTATCCGTAGCGACTGGGATACCGTTGTGCTATCCTACTCAGCAACATTACATTGCCTACGATCCTTAGTGGTGGGATGTACATTGCGGTCAAACAACTAACGTTTGTCCCAGACGCACTCGGCTTTGGCAGCTAGATCGTGTACGGCATCCCCATACTCCTGTTCATCATGAGTCCAAGAAAAGTGCAGATTAACTCGTCTTAGATGTAAACAATAAGCCAGGTTGGATAACTTCATGCCTGTCATCACGGTGTTTGATTGTGTCGTCATAATATCTACCATCATTACACAGACTGCAACCGAACGGGCGCTAAGAAGGCATACATAGGTTTGTGAACCGCTTATTCAATGGCCTCAGGCATCGTGCCGCGCTGATGAGCCAAGATTACAGATTTCCTCAGACCTCGGGATTGTGGGGCCGGAAATTGGCTTGTTAGGTTGGCACCAATAAGACCCGAGTGGCTCTGATTATGTAATGACCTTAGCTCGCGACAGCCGCCTGGGTTCCATCAGGGGACTTGACCGCTCCTCCTGAGACACCTAACCGCCATCCATCCCGCAACCATTAGTGAGGATTCTACTGACGACTCGATGTCCGACGACTCAACTTCCGACAACTCAACTTCCGACGACTCAACTTCCGACGACTCGACTTCCAACAACTCGAATTCCGACAACGACTCAAACTCTAGAACCACCACTGTTGCGATCCGTTCTAGGACTGCTGCCATAAGTTCTAAGAACGCTGCAATCCGTTACAGGGCTGCTGCAATCCGTTCCAGGACTGCTGCATCCGTTTCTAGGAATGATGCATCTTTTTCTTGGGGTGCTACATCTCTTTCTTGGAGAGATGCATCCCTTTTTAGGACTGAAGCATCCCTCTCTTGGGATGATGTAATCCGTTCTGGGACCACTGTAATTAGTTCCAGGACTGCTGCAATCCGTTCTGAGACTGCTGTAATCCGTTCTGAGACTGATGCAATCCGTTCTGAGGCTCATGCAATCTGGTCTGAAGCCATGCGCGATACACCTTCAACATCGTCCGACTCTGAGGAAGAACACTCCGATACCTGCAACAGCGACGACATGAACGAAGACACACGGGAGTACTACGAAGAACTTGCGCTAAATCCACGTCGGCCCCGGTCATTTGACCGCTTCCTCGATCTACCAAAGGAGCTGCGTCTTATGATCTACGAATATGCGGCAGATTGCCAACGTCGCTTTCGATTCGTGAATCGATACGTTGCCATCACGAACTACGAATCCATAACGCCCATTCATCTCACGTGTCGAGCAATTTGTGCGGAGGCTGCACATCTGATGAAATCTATCGTTGAAGCACAGCGAGTCCCGCAAGCAATGCGAGTCCCCCGTATCATCGTTAATGAACGGTCATGGGATAAAATGGACGGTAACAGTGAGGTTATCAGCAAGATTTGCAGAGTGTGCGAAGAAGCCAGATCAAAGAAAGTCAGCGTAAAGAAGGTGGACAAAATCATGCGGAAATCGGATGCAGACCAATATGGCAAAACGGGTTGGCCATACCACCAATACTCCGAGCGAGCATGCGAGGTCATTGCCAACTTTGCCAACTCCGCGGCCATGTATTTCGCTCGGCACGATCCTGAGAAGGCTCCTTCGTTATCTTTTCCCCGATTGTCCAACGATGCTATCGTAGTTTATGTCGCGTTGGTAGATGCTCCGATTGAAGAAACTCCGTTCTTCCGGAGTTTCTTCAAAGACGTAGGAGTTGAAATGCAACAGCATGTCGGTCCTTGTATGGACTCTACCGAGGACATCCGCGAACGATACTCTGTCATTGGAGAGGAAAATGATTACGATGGCAAGCACAGCGTCGTCCTGTACGATGTAAGGCGGGAGCCACGAGAATGGGAAGAGGGAGAACCTCCTCTTGAAGTCTACTACGAGGGTGTTATTGATGAAGAAGCTTGGGAGCGGGACTGGACATAATGCGCTAGGGAACTATGGAAAGGATCTATTACGGTACGGATGTTGAGAAGGGGGTGTGGAAAGGTTGAAGAGCGTTCAAGATGCTCGTGATACGCTTTCAATCGGGACGGACATGGGTGGCACAAACTTGCTCGTGTTTCTTTTAAGGTTATGCTTTGTTGGTATTATATTTTCTCCTCCAGAAAGATGCCATCGAAACCCATCCTAGGGCCTTAATAAAACTTTTGAAGATGTCATCTCCTCTTTTCCCACAGAATTCAATCTGCTCACTTATCAGTGTCTGTGCTAGATTGCCTTGCTAGGATTAGGCTCCGGAAGCTCTTCAAGCCATTTAGCGTAATAAGTGGTCTCTCCTAGACCATGTTCACTGACGTCTTCCGGGATTGTGATACCATTGGCACGATAAAGTTTCCCGACTGTTGGTATTGGCGCGCCTTCTAACAATTTGGCGTACACAGGAAATCGTGCATCACGATCAACCTCAAGGTACGTGACTAAGACGGACTCGAACAAAGGCTTGATGCAAGCATAGGTGACGCGGCCCTCAATCTTCCAGCAGATGCCAGTCTTCAGACTAGCAGGTTCTGGATTCCTCGCCAGTTCGATGCTCTTGATGTCGTGGATGCTGCTGTAGAGACCGAGACTGCAGAACTTGCCGATGACTTTATACGTCTTATAGAGCATATCTGGCAATTCCTCGTACAAGGGCGCAGTAGCTGAAGAGATGAAGTGGCATTTGATGGTTTCGCTCCGGGGAAAGCCACATGGCAGTATCGTGAAAGTCATCAGGCCGTCTTCGCCTTCGTCGGCCCAACATTGCTCTACTCTGACGATGGTGCCGGTGAACATTATCGTGGTCGGCAGTGGGCCTCCTATGTTGACTTGGTCAAACTCAGGGCCTACGTTTTGTGCGATAACCCTGTCCCATTTTGTGATGTTCCAAAAGTTCCCGTGATCATCTTGTCCCTCTACCATGAGAGCGTCCGCGATGTCATGGGGATGAATCCCCCTCTTCCGCATGGCTTCGCGCAGGGAACTAGACTGCGACTTGAGAAAGTCGTTCGATAAAGCTCTGAAGCCACCGGCTAGGTCGATCCTCGTTTCCGTCATGTCTTCATTGTTCAAACACCAGAGCAAATAGCTGGGGCTGGTGTCTGCGACTTGTTTGATGGTCTCGCAAGCACACTGAGGCGATAGCTACAACGACAGCACGAAGCATCATCGATTACAGCGCGGAATTTCCATTCGAAGTGTCGCACGTTGAGGGACGACATGCAATTTACGAGTGGAAGGTAGGTGACGCAGGTAGAATGGTAATCACCGTGACACGTTCAGGGATCCTTGCAGCACACGCTCGGGCCACGTCAGCCCCCACTTTCAAACGGCTGTGACCGCCGTGAGGATGACTATTCGCATTCTCCGCTTGTGACCCTCACATCGTGGTGCGGTAGTGTCTTCAAGTATTGACCAAAAGCTCCTTGTCGACTTCGTCTCTCATTCGTGTACTCCAGGGCGTATCACTGTTTGTGGTTTAGCAACGCGTCGTGCAGGTGCTCTACATCGCCGACGCGTTGCGCGTAACTTCGAGCCGCGTACCCTCACTTAAGTTGCGGCACAATTTCCTATGCATACCGTGTTATGCGATCGAGATCCCCCCGCCTGTAGCGCTTGACTATTTCTTCTCAGGTCCGAACTTGATTCTGCAAAATTCTCCTCTGGCCTTTCTGCGATCTCGTATTCAAGCGAACGACTTCTTCTGATACCCACGATGAGCTCCGGCGTTAAGCGACAGCGACAACCAGCCGCATCCTCCAATGCCGAGTCCTCAAAGAAGCGACGTACCCAGACGCGCGCAGCACCCAAGAGCCGCGGCCCCTACCGTTTCACCTTCGGTAAATTTAAAGGCAAGACAATACAAGAAGCATACGATGAAGACTATGATTATATCGAAGACTTCATCGTCTTCAAGGGGATGATAGGTCGGAACGATATACTTAAGAAAAATCCTGCCCTGAGAGCTGGTCTGCGCGACCTACCGAAATCCTGGTTGGAACGAAACTCAAGCTTAGAACGACTTCTGGACAACGACCAGCCAGGTGGTCCCAGTATATACGAATACGAGGCCATGGTTCCGAATCAAGGCATGATGAAAATGAACGAAAGGAGCAGTAGCTGCAGGTTCTGGGAAGCGACCGATGGTGCCGTTGTCAGCGCGTCTCATCAAAGCGCACCTACTGTCAAACTCGAAGACTTCGCAGAGGCGCTGGACGATTCTCATTTCACCAAGAGACTAAGTCCGATACACATAGCGTTCACTGCCACGGTCATACACGTCGAGCGGAGTTTTACAGACTTCGGAATGGGTGGCTCGGACTTCGATCCTTTTAAGATACTGCCATGTGGTTGGCCGTGGGAATCTCCTCTGAGCACTGAAGTTAACGTTGCAATTACCGGTCAGGACACGGTGTGGGCAGAGAATCGGAAGCCTCTGGTATACGGGCACTATCGCTTCAGTGGAAGTCTCGGTACCGGGTCTTCCCCTCCCACGGGCTGGCCTAAGAGTCTCGACGTTCTCAAGGATCCGGAGACTGTCGAACCGAGCAGCGGGTGCTGCTTTCGAATTGCTGGCAAAGTCAAAAAGGTGGATGGTAGGAGTGTCAAAGTGAGCGTCAAGAGGGAGAAGGCTCGTTATGCGGATGGCTGGGAGAAGGATGTCACTGTGGAACTGTCGGAAGGTGTCCAGGAGCCTGAACTTGACGCGTCATATGTATTCAACGGCCATCTCGAGCCATTCACCAAGGTGTTTAAGGATATCAAGTTCATCGCAGAGACTTGTAACAGGACCGGAAAAACTCCATCTTAAGCATATATTCAAAAGCGTCACCGCAGGTGCAATCAGCTGAACGCACAAATGGCTTGTGGCCGTATTTGCGGTGCAATACTAAGTGCATTTTTGCACAAGATCTAGTCTCTACATTATAACAATCTGCTTCACCTTCCCCTCCTCCTGAACCTTCATGCTATGACGTTTGATGTTTAGACGGCAGAACAGTCAGTCCCTCCACTCCAACAGCAACTTTTCCTCTTCGCCAAAATCTCCATCTTTCTCAACAATACCCAGATCCTCCAGCTCGCGCTCAAAGTTCTTGGGCTTGTACTCCTTCCCCGCCAACTCTGCGACTTGCTTAGCCAGTGCATTGCGTTCGTCTCTCATCTCCGCAAAGAGCAGAAACCAGGGGGTTTCGGGGCTGAGTCCCTCACACTGCAGCCGGCTTCCTTTCCCAGCCCCCGTTTCACATCTGAGCGTTGTCGTTCGCCAAGTCCACCGACATGTCGTGCATCTCCAGTATTTCCACTTCTTGGGCCGGTCACATGTGGTACATTTTTGGTCATGAGGCCCCATGTAAGTCGTCTCTACTTTATCTTCTTTAAATAGGGCTGGACAGTCGACACAATCGAAAGCTTCATCTTTTGAAATCGGGTCTCCGATATTGGATCTCGGTGACTGTGGCGATCGATATCTCTCTCGTGAGGACGGTGGATGATCTTCGGACGAGGGCGGTGAATATCTGTATCGTGGGGACGTTGAATATCTTTCTTGTGATCGCATCCGGCTTGCTTCTCGTAAAGGGGAGGAATATCTCCCTTGTCGATACGGTAGATATTCTCTTGGTGGAGGCGATCGCAACAATTTTGGTCTTTCATTCCAGCGATCCTCCTGATATTCTGGTTCACTGTAGCGGGCCATTGAAAGAGTAGATTGCGTGATACCAAATGAGGATATTGCACCAATGAGATTGGTGCGGTGGATGTGTGTAGAATACCAATCAGAAGACCAATCCGGCAGACAATTTATATTACCAATATGTGTCAACGAAGCTGTCATAAGAGAAAGGAATGGAGTGAGACACGTCTGTGGCAGAAACTGACTCTTTTACTGGCTCTAGACGGGGACCCAATGACTCTGAGTCAGAAAAGTTACGTTGAACAAAACCATTTCACCGTAACCTGTTGGCGTTTCCTGTCACGAAGAGTAAGTATGAAGACTCAATTCATTTTGCATGTCAGTGCGGCATGACGCAGTGGAGGTAAACAAATCATCATGAAATCGAGCGCCTTATAAAGCCAATGGTTACAGGGAGGTGGAGGCACTGCTGAACTCCATCGTCTGTCCTTACGCAAGCCAACCAATGCCGCAAAACCAACGAGTCTGACGCCACAGAAATTACCATGTACGATACAGGACCAACATATTCTCCTTTCCAGCTCTTAGACAGTACCCGCAATACTCAGGTCTCGAATCTCTTGCAGCACCTCCTCCACCCGCGCATCCAGCTCGCCCTGTGCATACTGATCTCTTGTGTTCGCATCCAGATACTGCTGCACTTGCGCCATTCTTGAGTACGCTTCCGCACAGAACCTCAGCTGAATCTTGACCAGCGCCTCGAAACTGGGGTCTAGGTATGGTACTCGCAGGTCGATGAGCTGCGGCAGCTCAGTTGTGAGGGTGTCGTTGAGTTGATCGTACGCGGCCTTGGCGAGTTGTTCGTCCTTCTCAGCGCGCGGTAGCTTGGTGACGTCCTTGTCAGGCTTGTCGGTGAGCTTTCGAACTTGCGCGCGCATGCGGTCGTAGTCCATTTGCTTGTGTTCGCGCTTTGTGATGCAGGCGTTGATGTCGGGGAAGTAAGAGCAGAACCGCTGGATGGGGTCTAGAACGGTTGTTCGGTAGGGGCCGTCGAGGGCTTTTATCGTCTCGGCGTCCAGGTCGGTGACGGCTTGCTTGTAGGATCGCGATACGCCGTCTTTGGTGCCTGCGTCGCCGTAGAAGGCGTCGATGGTTTCGGCGATGCGCATTTGTGAGGCGGTCATGGCGCGCAGAGAGTCGAGGTAGCCTTTTGCTTCCTTTTGCAGCTTGTTCGCGGCGGTCTCCATAGTACGGTACCGACTGGCATCTTGTTAGTCGTGGTACTACGGTGGGATGCCTTATTCTTGTATGAAGTGTGCATCTGATGGATTGGAGAGCGTACCGCTGCTCAGTCTCGAAGTCGCGGTCATTTGTGCGCTCGACTTGGCCAGTCTTCATAAGAACCTGCGTCGTCGCGCGATTGACGCCTTTCTTGAACCCTGCGTCTGGTGAGCCGGCGGCTTCCTGGATCATCGTCGAGGGGCTCCTTACCGGTCCAAGACATGATTGCGCTGTAGTCCCTCTACTTCCGGGCGACGGTATGTATAGTAAGGTGTGTGAGGCTTGGGATCGTGGGTGGTAGTCGTGGTGTTGTGGGGAGAGTAGCGTGAATGGAGAAGGAGGCCGTGGTTGGGCGCAGTCGAGTGGTTGTTGGCGGGCGGCAGTGCCACAATGACGACGCTACAAGACCCCGGCCGCGCTTTCTGGTGGCTGAGCAACCGCGATTCCGATTTTGATACAACAACCCGACTTCAATGTTTTCACTTCGACCGCTGCAGCGTGCAGCCTCCTCACCTTTTCGTGTATGCTCAGGCTGTCTGCGAAAGTACTCCATCGCCTCGCCAGCCAGACAGAATGCCAGTAAGAACCAGGAGCAGGTGATATTCTCGGGGATCCAGCCCACCGGCGTACCGCATCTTGGAAACTATCTCGGCGCACTGCGGCAATGGGTCAAGCTGCAAGACGAGGCATCTCCGGATACAACGCTTCTTTTCTCAATAGTCGATTTGCACGCGATTACGATAAAACAAGATCCGAGCGAATTGGCAAGATGGCGGAAAGAGATGCTGGCTAGTCTGCTGGCAGTGGGACTTGATCCAAAGAGATGCATCATCTTTGCGCAAAGCAGTGTGAAGCAGCATGCAGAGTTGATGTGGATCCTGAGTTGTGGTGCAAGCATGGGCTATTTGGGACGAATGACCCAGTGGAAGGTATACAAACGCAGAAGTAGAGTTAGGAAGGCGTAATGTTAACATTGTCTTAGAGCAAGCTTTCCCTCCCATCCAATGCATCCCCTCTCGATCCTTCCAACAACAAAGACGCCCTCAAACTCGGTCTCTTCTCGTACCCGGTCCTACAAGCCGCCGACATCCTCCTCTACAACACGACCCACGTCCCAGTTGGTGAAGACCAAGCGCAGCATCTCGAATTCACACGCGAACTGGCCAGTGGCTTTAACCACGTCTACTCGGCGTCGCAGCCTCTGTTGACTGTTCCACAAACACTTCTGAGTCCCGCGAAACGAGTCATGAGTCTGACTGAACCAACAAAAAAGATGAGCAAGAGCGACCCCAAGCCGAAGAGTCGCATCTTGATAACAGACTCAAGAGAGGAAATACACGGCAAGCTGAAGACGGCATTGACAGACTCCATCGAGGGAGTGAGTTATGACCGCGAAACCAGACCGGGTGTGTCAAACCTAGTGGAGTTGATGTATCATTTCGATCAGTCGCTCGCTGCGTCGCCGGAAGATCTAGCGAATGACTTGAAAAATCTCAGCATGCGGGCTCTAAAAGAGAAGGTCGCCGATACCGTTGATCTCGGCATCAAGGATACAAGAGAATGTTATCAAGAACTGATGAGCGGAGATCAGAAGGAGCTCATAGAGCATGCAGAAGAAGGTGCACAACGAGCAGAGAAAATCGCTGAGAGCACTATGAAGAGAATCAGAAAGGCTATGGGTATAGCATGGTAGCTTTTGGACAAACATAGCGATGATGCGTCGACATAGTCACAAGCTGAACGCTGTTGAAGCCATGCCGCCTGACAGAGTATCCAGACTCATCCTTCTCTACTTTTGAGGACTCATAATATCACGACTCATAGCCACTATTTATTCGCTGCGCGCACAGAGAATCATGCTTGCACTCTGCAACAAGCCATATTTCACCCTCAACCTCCGTACGAGACATACCATATCGCATATCCTCTCAAGAGAATTCCCCCTCCATCTTCCAGAGAAACCATCGATTCAACGCTGCGTTGAATTACGCGTGTCAAACACCCAAGATATCACCACAGCCATCGAACGAAAGAAACATGCCTCAAACTGAAGGCGAAGCGTCCACATCTACAAGCGAACACACCGCCTGCAAGGTGATGAAACCTGAAATTGAATACATATGCCCCGGCCGTTCGACTTCTTGCGGCAAGAAAATCTCCGGAAACCAACGCAAATGCGATGCATGCGATCTTCTTAGAGAAAACGTTTGGCAATGTAAATGTCGTGCTGCAAATCTCTTCTGCCAGAACCGATGTGGTAAAGAGGGTTGCATGGGGACGAGCCCATTTCAAGAGAACCCTAAGCCCGTCATCGAGACCATACAGCCTAGCTGGGCGAAACAGAAGTAGCAGAAGACGTGGTCGGGTCGAGCAGGATATGTGCCAGCAAGTGTCCCGGTACAGAGAACGGTCGACAGGGCATTTTGAGATAGTGAGGATTAAAGGAGGGACATCATGATGAGAGTTAGATGTATAATTCATGCATTCCCTAGTCTACGGTCATTCACATGCAGCCACTGCGCCGCCAATTGCAAGCCCAAAGCAGCCATGCCACGCGTGATAAAAAGATGATTCAAGAACTCCGTTCCTATGCAGTGTAGATGCCAACCTAGCCGTGACCGAACCCTAGGCGTGAAAGCCCGTTGCAGGCGTAACGCCATGAATACCATGCCGAAACCGAACGCCGCGCTTATGATGAAAACGTGGAAGAAAACCGAGGAATGGAAAGTTGGGCAAGGGGGTGAGAGGGCAATGCGCAGTTCCTAGTGCGCGAGTGTCCACCATATCGTTGGACGGGGGTGAGGGGGAAATGGAGTAGGGGCTGCCCAATCACATGATGACGAAGAGAGGAGTGTTGAGGTAGGTGATGCTGTCGGTGAAGGGACAAGGATAAGGGTGTCAGAACCCGAATCCTCTTCAGACGCTGGGGACCCACCCCTAAGTAGCCCTGGCATGCGGATGTGAGACATTCGCATGATGAGGGGCTCAGAGTTGCAGTCCATGGGCAACGTCTAGCGCTTCATGGGGGTATCGGCGTCCTCGTCATCTTCAGCATCATCGTCATCGCCTTCGAAGTCGGAATCCATTTCTTGGTCCTCGTCCGGGTCGCTCTCGCTGCCACCAAAGTCCAGGCTCTCGGCATCGCTGTCTTCCCAGCTCATGTCAAACTCGCCCTCGTCCTTCTCTTTCTTCCACGCTGTTTCGTGCGTTGGCATGACAAAGTCCGTGGGGATGTCTGCCTTTGACAGCTCGAGATCCTTCTTGACCATCTCTTTGTACTGCTCAGGCTTGTTGCGCAGCATGACTCCCGCGTCGACGTTGGCGGGTGAGGAAACCTCAGCATCGTCCAGCAGAGAGAGGATGGATATCAGGACCGTCTCGACACGCTGCACGGGTGACCAGCGCTCGGCGGCAGTCTCGCCGGACATCTCGTCATCGCCGGGTGGGTGGAGGATGGAGATACATAGGCGGCCGTCGGGGTAAATGTTGGGGTGGTAGAGCGGGCGGATGAACTTGAAATCTGGTAAACCGTTAGCTCCTGCCCTGCGCTTCGCGACTCCTTCCATCCCTGGATCCGCGTATTGGCAGTGACGTACCTGGCGGGCTATGCGGGTAGTTGCGAGGGAAGGTCATCTTGGCCTTGAAGTAGCCGCCGTAGTACATGGACTCTTCGTTCATGACTATCAGAGCGACACTCCACTCAAAGACGTTCTCGTTGATGAGCTGTGACGTGGTTAGCTCCTGCATCGCCACTAGGACTGTGACTCCGGAGGGAATGTCACCAAGACGCACCTCGATGTTTGTCCACTTCTCCTTGCTGAGCTGCTTGAACTCATTCATGAGTATCCGCTGCGCCATTTCCGCCATGTTGCCTTCTCGGTCCGGGGTCGTTGCTGAGGCGTGTAGTGTTCGTGGGGGTGCAGGAACAGTACTGTATTCGCCGAGGCGGTCGGTTGGGTGTTGTCTACGTGTAAAAGTGAGAGTGTGGGTAGAGAGAACGTCCTGGTGGTTTGTGCAAGGAGTGAGAGAGCGGCGGAAGGGCGAGAGTTTGTACTTAAGGGAGTCGGTCGGCTGAGGCGCTGCATGATCGAATGCTCTCGCCGAAACAAGGATCACTTAGTCCGCCCCTCGGCAGGAGCCTAAGTCACCGCTTCCGAACTCGCGGACAACGAGTGGAACCTTCCTTACTTGGTCCTCATGACTGCAGGGGCTCACCGTCACCACGTTTCTTTCATCGTCGGCACAGTTGCTGTTCGGCGCCTTGGATGCCGCGCATTCTGGCTTTGGCAGTGTTCCTTCCGACCTCGGAACGAATAGGAACGGTACGGAATGTCACCTTGGATGCGTCCCAAGGTTGTCTGCTCGCGTGATAGCACCGAGTTGCGGCTTATCTACGCTTCCATCTATCATCGCGTCTCTGGATGTCATGTGAGCGTATGGGCAAGGTAGTATAAACACGCGCTACCAATGCATGCCGTTTCATGTGATGTCATCATGGGCACTATCGACACCTGAAACAATACTGTAAAGCATTCTTTTGCTTTGTCTATTCGCGTACGCCAATCCCTAGCTTCATGGCTCATTGTACAGGGTATGCGCGCCTTCTTTTTCGGCTTGTGTGGTTTGCTTCTTACTACCTTCTACCGAAAGCCACACGTAGTTGTCGATCTGTGAGATCATCACATACGTATCCAATTCCATACTCAGGCGATGTGCTGGCAGCAAAGAGCTTTGCGACGAGAACAATACTTTTCTAATCTAGAGTATATCTAATGCCGACATGATCGTGTACGACGTGACCCCGAATTATGACAACCTCCGGTACACCAGCGCTGGCGTTAATACATGTACTGAATGAAAAACCACGATACTAAACATAGGAGAAACAAAGACAGACAGTGTCCAACTGACAAAACAGGGAATTACCAACCAACAAATTCAATCAAATGTAACGCATCCTCTTAGCAACCCCCAAGCAGACAGCAACAAAAAGGACAATAACACCAATAATGCCAAAGAACCATCCGAGGCTGCCATCCTGACCGGGAACCTTGACGTTCATACCAAACAGACCACAAATCAAGTTGAGCGGAACGAGAATCGTAGCGATGACCGTAACCTTCTGAAGCGTAGCGTTGCTGTCGTTGCCTTGAATGACTTGATCAACCGAGATTTGCGCAAGGTAGTTGGAGTGTGCGCGGCTGAGCATTTTCTCGAAATGAGCCAAGTTGGACATCATAGTGACGACGTGATCCTGGATATCGCTGAGGTACATGCCCACATCACCCCGAGGAGCAACGCTGTACGACTCGTTGCAACGCTTGGCGAAGCCCTTGATGACATCCGCCTTGCCGCCCAAGAGACGCAGAAGCTGCATGACGCGCTTACGGCAGTCGCCGATCGATCGAAGAATGGCGCGAGAATCTTCAATGCGCGCAGTGAAGACCTGATCCTCAATCGCATCTGCCTCATCTTCGATGCCCCGAATGACAGGTGCAAAGCTGTCGACAATGTCGTCGATGAGGGCGTAGCAGATCCAGTCAGCGTTGAGGTTGATGTAGTCGCGAAGACGGCTGATACGCTTGCGCACAGAAAACGTGTGTGGGCTCTCGCAGAAAGTGAAAGTTAGGATGCCCTCCTTGAATACGACAGCATAGAAGTTGACAGGCTCCAAGTACTCCTCCGATTCCTTGTCGGCTTGGAAGAAGGAACGGAAAGAGACGAAGTAGTATTGATGGAACAGCTCCACCTTTTCGCGCGGCTCTTGGACGCAGATATCCTCACGGGTGAGAGGGTGCACGCCGAAAGCCTTGGAGATGGCGAAGACTTCCTCTTCTGTAGGGTTGACCATGTCGAGCCACCAGACGCCGCCGTCTGATGGGGTGTCAAACAGATCGCGGAAGCGTTCGCCGGGCATAAGCAGGCCGCCCAGTTCGGCAGCATGGATCGTGTCGTCCAACTCAGACGAGAAGAACGTCCAGCGGTTGAGCTTCACTTCTGGCGCCGGCTTCTCCGCGAATACGTGTGACAGACCTTCCTCGGCGAGCTTCTCTTGGATCGCAGGGTCCGCATTCTTAAGGCTCAAAGCGTCGCTGTCTGTCTTGGGTGTTCCTGACTGGCTGGACTTGGGGCGGAGATCGGAGAAGACCTTGGGCTTTGTGGAAAGGTTGGAAGCGGTGCTCGCCTTGTGTCGCAAAGGCTGGCCGATGGGCGTCTTCTCTTGAGCCTCTGCGACAAACTCCTCCAACTCTTCGTAGTCGAACCTAGTAGTCTTGCCAGTATCCTCGGCCACAGGGAAGCACACATCCTCCTCGGCAGAGCTGTGCGCAGATGCAACTTCAACGTTGTGCAGCTCATCAGGACGCTCGTCGCTGATTGTCGGACGGCGTGCAGTGCCGCGAGAAAGCGTTCTGTTCAACCCCAGCTCGAGCTCGGAACCAGCATGGCTCTGGAGGGTGTTGGCACGGTCGCGGCGCCTAGGGCCGGCGAATGCGTCGACGGAGTTAGGAGGGGAGACGGAGCGCGAAGTGGTCGACGAAGCCCTGCTCCTAGTCAGGCGCTCGACTGCCGGGTCGCGCGGGCGCCTGAATGTCTCTCGACGGGCCTGTGGGCTGTGCGCCAGAGAACCACGGCGGATGTAGGCATCGGGAGCCAAGTGTTGGTCATCGTCTACGACGGCGCTTTCGAAATCGCGCCGAGTGATGTCTGCCTCGAGGGCCTCGTTGACTTGGAGGAGTATGTTGGGTCGGTCTTGGCCCTGGACGCTTGCGAAAGTTGGTCGGCGCGACCTAGGGGGTGAGGTGGCATCGGCTCGTGGGAGCGATACGGGCTGGTGGCGGTGGTCGTCGAGGTCAGACACCGGGGTGCTGAACCTCGTTTGGTTCTCGGATCTCGGAGTGTCAGTCATATTGGCGACTCAGGCGGCGATGAGTTGGACTCCGAATCAGATGTCGTATGCTTTGGTTAAGCCAGGTTGTTGGTGGATTCAGCGACTTCTTGCAGCGCAAGAACCACAGAAGCGGGCGAGTCGCTTGTGAGCGCTCACCTCTAGGGCGCGCTCAACTTGACGATGGCTTCGCGTAGGGTGGTCCCCTACACTAAGCCGATGGGAGACAGAGTCCAGTAGCCAGACTTCCACACCCTATGGGAATAGGAAGAAATGTAGAGACGGTGATGCAGTAGCGAATGAATGTGTTTGCTGTTAGGGCGAGTTATGGTGGCTTGTGGTCGCCGCCGTATACCCAGGCCTTTGTGCCGAGCAAGGGGCGGATGAAGGAAAGCTTGTCGAGGTAGAGTCCCGCCAACTTGGTGGTTTGTATGTATATGGACGCCGTAGCGTCAGAAGGTGCGGTGTAAGGGGACGGTTGCAAAAACAAAGACCCCTTGAGCGATCAGTCGCGGTGGTGGATGGCGGTCCACGGAGATAAGAGCCGGATAGGTGGAGGGTGCGCGATCGCGACTGCTGGCAGTTGGTATCGTGAGGCGGTTGGAAGTCGATGGGAAGTGCGGTGGGTGGAAGTCCAGGGGACGGTGGGAGTGTTGTTGAAGGGACGGTGCGGGACTCAAATACGGCGATTGAGCGATGGGTCAAGGAAAAAGCTTGTGCAGCGACGGAACCTACTGGCCCGTTCTGATTGGGCAGACGCGCTCAGAGAACGACAAACGGTCATGCATGTGACTGATCGAGAACTCGGCCGCTGTGGAGAGAGCGAGTGAAAGTGGTGCCGCACATTCCGCGGCCTAACCGGCCAAGGTTCTTGTTGCACCTGGGAGGGCGAACCAGGTACCAAATGCTGTTGTTGCGTCAGTGTTGGGCGTAAATCAAGAGGCGCCGTTAGTGAAGGCTAGTGCGGCTGCGGACCCCTGCCTTGTAGATGTCCCGGCTCGTGGTAATGCCACCTCTCCGAGACAGTTAGGCCCGTTAGACGTTCAGTAGAGTTCCAAGTGACATCCGTTCCCGATCTTCACCAACCTAGCCTTCAAATACAACGATCACGACTCGGCCATCCAGCATACCCCATCACCATGGCCGACCAGCTTCTGGAGCAGGTGCGCGACGCGGTCGAGGGCCAGATTGTATGCGACAGCGACGCCGCTACCTGACTTGATGCATGTGCTAATACGACCAGGACTTTGAGGGTCAGCGGCTTGCAGAGATGCTGAGCACTGTCCTGCTTGGTGCCGCTGGTGTATGTGTCCCTCCCCCGCCTGATACACTTCAACAAGCTGACAATACAGATCATCGCGTTCATCGTTGGCTTCCTGCAGCAAGACATTCGAATGGCACTCTACATTGGCCTCGCCGGCTCCGCGCTCACATTCCTCGTTGTCGTACCCCCGTGGCCTTTCTACAACAAGAACCCCGAGGACTGGCTCCCGCCGCACAACGCGACATCACAGTACAACATCGACGTAGACGGGCAGAAAGTCGGATAGTCGCGCTGGGACACGGAAGGGAGTCGCATGGTCAGAACACTTCACGATCGTAATGGAATCTGATTCGACGATGATGACCGCCTACGCTGCTACTTCTCCATGCTCTCATAGCCCTTTTGTGAAGGCCCTACTAACGCCGGACGTCCAAATGAAACCAAGACCCATGTTTGTCCCTGCTGAAACCAATCTCTCCACGGCATTGCGAGCGTCTATCGGCCGTACTTTTGGAACTCCCAGTCTCGGTTGTCTAACGGGCAGACTTGTCTGGTCTTGAGCCATCGTGAAATGCAGTGGAAGTGGAAGGCGTGCTGTCATGTGTCAGTACGGGTCAGTGCAGTGTCATGATAGAGCATACGTTGCAGATGCCCCAGGCGACTGTGCATTCTTCGCTGGTGGCGGAGGCTTGGTTGGCCTGGCACTCGATGCAGAGGTCCATGATGTGGTTACGGCAAATGGCGCAGTTGTCGACGACGATATCCCAAGCCCAGAGAGCAACGGCGTTCCACTGCGTCATGTTAGCTTCAATCTCTATGTTCTGCCCTCTGTCGTGTGATGCCGACCTTCTTGACCTCGAAACGTTTCTTGTCGCCCTCTGCGGCACTGGCCTTGCCGGTCTTGGTCTTCGCCGGGGGCGCGTCTGCCATGTCGACATCCGCCATGATTATGTGATGTGTCGGGGTGGTGGGGTGCGCGGGGAGTTGGTTGGAGTGGAAGCTGCTGGGGTTGACGCAGCGCGGTGGTAGGCGGTGTACGGGCGGTTGCAGTTGAAAGGGAACAACGTGCAGCTCGCGGGATTATATGGCGGTGGCGAAGTTTTGCTGAAGCGCTGTCAGTGTGTTTGTAGATGAAGGCGCAGTGTGCAGGCGTCAGGCTCCAGCTACGAGCTCCCGAATGCCAAGGCCAGGCCCTGTGTACCAACCTTGGGACGAGGTGCCAGGTGAAAGGGAATGCACATTCTTTCGCTAAGCGTCCAAATACCCTCCGGACGAGCAAACGCCATAATGCCACCGCTCCTCGCGATTCAAAGACGGGCGCCCGACAGCCTCCCGCTTCCATCATACCCAACCCGACCTCTCAGCCCTACGCCGCCGCAACCGTCAGTGCGCCTTGCCGAGATCAGCCTCGTTGGATCACAGCCACCTCCGCGCCGTTCACCGTCGATGCGACCGACTCTGCTCACAACACCCTCACTCTTCGCCCTATCTCACCCAACGGCGCGTGCCTATCTATACCCCGCGAATCTGGATATGATCACTTCAACATCTAACCCTTGCACATTCCCACCTTATCAGACAAAGACACAGACCGCGTCATCGCGCATCCAACCCACTACCTCATCACGAACCAAGAGCGTCCGCCTGCGCCCTACCAGATAACCCACCCCCCATCACAATACAACAACTCCACAGACAACGCTTCACATGTCGACAGTACAGACAACGGCCTCTCCACGCGCTCCTCGGGGCAAGCCGCAGAGCCCAGCTCAGGCAGCGCATGCCAACGCCGGCCGGCAGTCGCAACGCAAACCGCGAGGCAACCGCGCACACAATGGCTACAGCCAGAACCAACACAATGCGGCAGGAGCGTCCCCGAGTAAGATGCCTGCTGAGCTCGCCCACGCGGAAGGCGCGTCCCACTCAGGTGAGGACGCGCACATGCCCTCTGGACCGCGCAACATGAGGAAGCCCAACCAGTCCCATCCCTCCATCGATCGCGTCTTCTCTCCTCCTGAATCAGAGCCTGTTCCGATCAATCCGTCTGCTACCCCGGCTAAGATCCAGGCCGCCTATGCCGGCCCGACCTTCCATGCTTCTCCGGCTCCTTCTGCTCTGCCTATACCCAAGTTTCTTTCTCGTTCTGTGCCGGCCAAGACACGTGCTGGTCCACCAACACCTCCGCCCGAAGATAGTTCTGATTCTGCTTCTCCAAGTCCTTCTGCTTCTCCTTCCCGCGCCCCGGTGGCCGTTCCTCCTCGTAATGAACAATCTCCATTGGACCTGCTTTTCAAGGCGGATGCGGCTGAGAGAGCCAAGGGCAACCATGGACGCCCAGCCTCCCACGGACCTTTCAACCCAATGGACACTTCCAGGCCACAGCATTTGAAGCATGATTCGTCACACTCGATGAATGGCGTCTTCCCCATAGAGCTTGACGGGGAAAGCAAGCACGCACATATGTCTCCCCCACCAGCAGCCTCGCCCGCCTCGCATCGCTCCGTTACAGATCCCACCAAGATTCCACAGCTCAAGGATATGCAACAGCACGGCAACGGCAACGATGTTATGAACGACCTACTGAATCGTCTCTCAATGTCACAGAAGAAGCCTTCGGCAACACCGCCTCGACCGGATGCGCAGGGTCCACAAGGATTCATGATAGGTCAGACACCATCACCTTTCCATGACGGTCGCCCTCCCCAGAACCCTTCTGGACCCACTACACCGCAGGCACCACCGCCGAACCAAGACTCTGAATTTTTCTATGGCAACCGTAATCTTTCTCCCTTGTTCAAAGCCGCAAAGGGCGATTCTGCAAAGAAACGCAACTCTGGTCTTCGTACCGAGATCTCGGCTGAGTCTCCTATGGTCGGACCGGGCAACTTCCAGAGCTTTCCTTCTGTTCCTCCCACTCAGATGATGGACCCCAACGCCTTTTCCCGAGATCAGCCAGGCAACGGCAACGGAGGCTTTGCCAACGGGCCCCGACCATCAGCACCCCATGTACAATCCTATCAACAAAGTCCAAACAACCGCAGGAAGACGCCTGGCCGGCAGCCACAACAGCCACAACAGCCTCGCCCCGACACTTACCAGAAACGAGGCAATATGAGTGGGACTGGAAATACCGCGGCTAATGCTCCTCCAGCATCTGCTCCAAAGGCCCCTACCAGCATGATGTCCTTTGTACCTTCATCAGTCGCTGCTAAACAACGCAAGACCTCAGCCCCCGCTGCCACTGCTGGTGCCTCATCCATGAAAACCGCGACCCCTTCCAATACGTTGTCTCTGGAGCAGGATCTCAAACGCTTGCTCAATCTCAGCCCGGCTGGCGAGTCCAGCGTCAGGTAGTCGTTTCTACGAGACCTGCCATGTTTGGGCATGGTTTGGGCTCACTACATTCGCTTGTTTATATGGATTTTCTATTTGTTCCATGTTTATGGTTCATGATTGTATTGTCATTTCATCTGGAGTTTATGGCGTTATCAATGGCTGGTGGCCATCCTTTTTGTGGAAGTAGTGAGCATTGACGGGCATGTCGTCTCAGGTTCTTTGGTCCAGCGCAAGCGTTTCTTTTGTCACTGTTCATGAATGGATGCATGGACATGGGATTTGAAGAGCTGGAAATCAGGCGTTTTCTTGCACCATGTTTCATGTTCTGGTGCATAGGCACTTTAGGGAATGTCTCGACTGGCTATGAGAAGTGAGCTTCCTCCGACAATTCTCTGCTGTCCATGATCTGGATCCAGGCACGACTCAACTCGACTATCACTACATCACCACAAACCACAAGTAAAAATCAAGAAAAAAAAATAAGGGCATGATGCTCGGCTTCGGTGTCTCCCTCGGGAGGCACGAAGTTTTCATGTCCAAACAAGGTTTCCGTTCGGCACGACTTCGTGATGGTGAGCTGCTTCCCTATATTGTTTCTTCGTTTGACTTTAATTTCCACGTCATCTGTTCTGTCTGCAAGAGAAGTATGTGACCCAGACAAGAGCATGGGGTGGCATACTAACTGTTGGGCGAGCGAGGATCCTCCCTGCCTTCGACTCATCACGGGAGTGAACTCTCACTTTCACCATCCCATGTCACTAGCGGCACGTGCCAGTGCTGCTTGGCACTTGTCGCGATCTACCCTGAGTGAGCACCTCCAGTGGGCGCAGGTTCATTTTCCAGTTGTCTTCTCGCGCCTGTTTACGCACCACCAATTACACCCCCGCTCGATCGCTTTGATTCTTCTTTGCAGGCAATCACGCGACCTTTGCAACACTCGCCCGACCTTACGTACTAACACAAAATCGAATTGTCGCAGCTGTCAACTGCCGCAACTGGTCAGGATGAAGAGTCTTCGGAGCAAAGGTAGGCTCTTATTCTCTCCCATAGGCAGCGTTGAGCCCGGGATGGATTCACTCTCGCTCCACAACCGCAAAAGCTCTAGCGTTAACATATAGATAGCGTCGCACTTCTTCAGAGATAGCCCAAGTCGTGATGAGAAGACCGCTATCGCCGACAGTTCGGAGATCGAGTTTGACGCCGGGATTCAGGACGTGGATATGCGGAAAAAGCGTAAGTCACTGCTTCGCATGTAGATGGAGACACACTAAAAACATGTGCAGCATCGCGATTCTTTGGACGCAAAAACGACAAGCTAAACAAGCCACTGCCTACTCTGCCTTCCAATCCCAACCCGTCCACGCCACTTTCCCCAGTCGCTACGCGTGTCACCCTAGGACAGCAAGGCGATAGCTTCGAAAACCTACCCGACTACGAGGATTTGGAAGAGGAAGAGTATCAAACAAGCTCACCGGCACTTCCGCCAGCTTCGCGCAGCCTCTCCGCCACTCCAGAGCACAAACACGCTCGCGGTGGAGAGCCGGTTAAATCAAAGTCACGCCCCAACTTCGCATTACTTAGAGAAAAAGGCATGTTTTCCGCTATTCATGCAAATGTCAACTCAATGTTGACTCTTGTTCTAGGCTCTCGTCTCTTCGGCGGCAGCAAGAACAACGACTCCACGCAGTCACCAACGCCTCCGCCCGTTCCACAGATACCTACTAGCGTTCCTCTCCCCAAAGTACGCCGTCCTGTCCTCACATCACTCTCAACAGCACGCACATCGCGCGCGTCTCTCGTCAAGACTCAAAACCGCAGCGTCTCAATCTCTCGTCCTCAGCTCATGGCACAACTCTGCAGTCCACCCATCCCAGAAGACCACGTCACGGTCCCCTTCGAAAAGCGTCCCGGACCACCACCTCCGCGCCCTCCCCGTCCTGATAGTCTCGATGAGGAGACTCTAGCCTTCATGCGCGAAAGCGGCACACGTATGGTCCTCCCCTCCAGCAACCGCGGAAGCACCAGTACAGCGACAGCCTCAACACCGCGCAGCCAGGCTAGTTCCATCGAAGCGCGTCTCGGTTTCCCCTCTGGTCACGGCACTCCGCGTACTTGCTCCATTGAGTCCCCTCTCGCAGCGCGCTTCACACCCGATCCCAACCAGGCCCTCCCTGTTCGTGACAGCAGTGGCGATCTGGTGTTAAGCCGCTTCAGCGAGTATGTTCGTTACCAGCAACAGCGTAGCCATGCGGTCGATGGTGTTGATGCTGAGGATAGGGAGGTTGGTCCTATTGAGATGTGGGATCCTAGCAAAGAGGGTGATTGGACGCTGGAGAAGCGGATTAGTCAGGGTAGGGATGGGAGGCCCGGTGGTATGCTGTTTCGCGATAGATGGGGCGGGTTTCATTTTGTGGCTGATATCTAGGTTCTGCGTGGTTGTCAGTGGGATGCATGTCGTTGTTTCGATATGAAAAGTTTGTAGCTTTTGCTTTGCACTGGAAGAAGGACGGGCAAGTGTGCATGCGTCTTGGATGCATACATTGGCTAGTTATTAGGCGGGTGATATTGATGCCCAGCACTGACACCCTCACTTTGAACCATGCATCCAC